CGGTCCCATGTAGCACTCATATTTCGACGGACCGCGCAACAGTTGCTTGGATCCGCACGGCTGGATCATCGCGGCCCGGTAGCCTTCCCATCTCCGGCCCACCGGAGTATGAGTGCTACAACGATTGATGCGCCGCCATGGTAAGGAGAGGATTAGGATGGCCGAGGCCCGCCTCGCTGCCGGCATGGTAATGGCGTGCGCGGTCATAGAGGAGAAAGTCATTTGTTCCCGTATCCTAAGAAGCAGCAGCGGGGGAACAGGCAAACCCTCGCCGAGAGCAAAATCAGGCGGTCCATACCATGGTTGGACTGCCTCCAAAGGAAAGAAAGAGGGCAGCAATGGGTCGGACAATTATAACGACGAGTAGACCCTGCTAGATCCATTTTGCGTTTTCGAGCGCTGCTTCTGCGAGAAAGACGACAAAGACACCAGGAAGGGCAAGGACAACTGTGGGTGATCTTCTCCATAGCTAATACTCCCTCTGTTCATTTTATGTAAGGTGTATCTTCTTGGCACAGTGACCAATGCACACAAATTCTGAATTTAGGACAAAATTACCCTTTTGTTAGTTTGTTGGTTAACGGCAAGTAAATCAATTAGGCAACCAAAGGAAGAGATGTATGCAATAAGGAGAACGATACTTGGATCTTCTCCATAGCTAAGGGAAGGGAAAGGGCAGCTGTGGTTGATCTTTTCCATAGCTAATACTCCTGCTTCTGTTCATTTATTTAAGGTGTATTTTTTTGGCACTGTGACCAAGACACGCAATTTTAGAGAATTTAGGACAAAATTACCCTTGGGTTGTTTGTTGGTTAACGGCAAGTAAATCAATTAAGTAAGAAAATGAATTATAAAGAGAGAATGATACTTTCCTTCTTTTCCTATAAAGAGAGATACTAGAAATTCTGAGAGAGATACATTCCTTTTTTCTGTAGTACTAAGAAAGGAATTATAAGAAATCAAAAGAAATGCATCTTACATTGTGTAATCCTATCATAAAATAAATATACCTTGTATAAAAAAATGGAGGGATTGTGTAGGTAGAACATGCCAAATTTAATAGTCTGATGGCATGTCCTGATGTAGTAGTCACATGATCTGTGTTGCATCGTTTACGTATATTGCATGTATGTGTTTTGTATGGATTTAAGATTTGCTAATTGAAGTGTCCGGTCATGCGAAGAAAAATTTAAGATGTGAACGATCACTGCCCGCGAACGCGTTTGTAGATCAAAACGTTGATGTAACCTATACATATGTTGCAAAGAGAGCTTTGGCTCAGTGGTTGGGCATGCGGTTGTGCAGCCTAACGACCCGAGTTCAATTCCTAGAATTGACAGGTGATGCACAAGGGTTTTCCCCCGTTTATTGAGGATCAAGTTTGGTGTGTGGTGAAACCACTCATCAAGAAATATCTTGATACTCATTTAAAAATATCTGAGGACCGTGTTTATCTTGGTACTCATACTAAAATGGCCGTATGCATCCCTAGTTGGTGCAGAGGCCGGGAAGTGAAATTCTCTCCCATTTTTAAGGTGGAGGAAGGGCTCTGACTCGTCCTCCTCTGGCGCTCCTGCGGGCGGCAGGGGAGGAACCCTAGCCGCCGGCCGCCTCTCCACCTCTCTCCTCCTCCTCCTCCTCCCGCCGCCGCCAGAGGGCGCGCCCGGGCGAAGCCCGGCCGGCGGCGGCGGCGGGGGGGCGTCTTCATCGCCTCGTTCGGGAGGGCTGGCGCGGGCCGGCCGACCTGGATCTGGTCACGGCGTTCTCGCGGGGCGCCGCGGCGCGGCCCCTCATCGACGCAGGTTGGCGCGCGGGTGTGCGGGTGGCGTGATGGGCTGCTCCTCGGTGGTGCTCGGCTGGTGTGGTGACGGCGGCGGCTCGATCCAGATCTGGTTGGGGCGGGCTGCGGGCGGCTTCCTCCGCCGTGGCCGGCTGGCGGAGGGGTCGGCGCAGCAGTGGTGGCCTCGGCCTCGGCCTTCCCCTCCTCTTCTTCATCCGGGGGGGAGGAGGTGGGATGGGCCGGGGGTCGGGGATGGCTGCCGGCGCCCCAGCCAAAGCTGACCTCGCGGCGGCAACGCTTTGGGGTTGGCCGACGGATTGTGGTTCCGGTGGTGCGTGCCCGGCGGTTTGGCGACCCGTGCACGAGGGATGGAGGTCTTCGATCAAATCCGGGTGAAAACCTGCTATTGGCGATTGCCAAGGCCGGCGATGGCGACGCTGTCTGCGTCGTTCCCTTCCTGAAGGCATCGTCGTGGAGAAGTTTAAGGCCACTCTCTGCTACCTCCGGGGGAAACCCTAGATCAGTAGATCGGATGACGACGGCTCGCTGGTGTCGTTTCCCCCCTGGGGGCGTCATTCTTGGAGGTGCACACGGGCTCGAGGGACTAGAGGACGGTGACTTTGGTGGAGCGGTGCTTCATCTTACACATTGATGGTGGCGGATCTCGGCGGCGTGGCGCTGTGGAGACTCGGCGTCTGATGCGCGGAGATGGAAGCTGTCTGGCGTCATGGTGGCGTTGATGGCAGATAGGCCTGGCAAGGTCGGTGCAACAGTACAGCTCTAAAGATGGATTGGTGGCAGGCGGCTGCGGCGGCCTCATACCCGGCAGGGGGCTTGGTTGAGAAGCACACCGGACTGGTGGGTGCCCATACCAGGCAGGCGTCCTGGGTGGGACCTCAAGTCTTTAGATGTTTAGGTTTGGCTGCGTGGTCTGTTTGGTATTAGACCCAGACTTTCAGCGCCCCTACATCAACTGGATAGGGATAGCGACAGTTGTTGCTTGTTTTGGTGGCTTTAGACTTATTGTTGTATGACTCTGTACGGTCTTGTGTCAATAATTAATAAAATGGCCGTATGCATCGCCCAGATGCAGAGGCCGGGGGTCATCTTCCTTTTCAAAAAAAAAAAAACATATGTTTCTCCTGTGGAAAACCAGAGGATGTGAACTATCCACTTTGTAGATTTCTCATGTGGTTTTCCTGCGTACCACCGAAGTCAAAGAGGGAGAAGCCGTCCCAATATCCGACCACCGCCGCGCAAGTTGGACCAAGAGGCGACTCCGTGTGTGTGTGGGTGGTGGCTTGGCAACGGCGACGGACGGCAGTCGCTCCGCGACGCCAGGTTTCTTCCGGCCCTCATCGTCTATTCTTCTCCTTTCTCTTGGTTTTCTTCCGGCCTTCGTCGTGCAGCCGTGCGAATCCTCATGTCACGCGAGCTACTACTAGACGATAGATCTGAAATTACTCTTCTAGTGGATGGCATGCGGGACAATTGCACACCACGCGGGCGCCGTCTCCGGGAGCGCGCGACCGGAGGCCCCCGAGACGGCGAGGCCGTAGTACTCGACCGCGTAGCTGCGGAGGTCGGGGTCGAAGGGCGACACGACGGCGGGGAGGACCTCCGTGGGATCCGAAGCCCATGAGGGCGCCGGCGGCAGCTGGCGGCGGAGTCGCGGAGGCCGCATCGGGGCTTCGGTGGCGGCAGACTTGCTGGGTGGTACTGTAGTGTAGACTGGGGTGGCGAGAGCAGAGTAGGCGGCGGGCAGAACAGAGCGAGGAAACGGTGATTCTCCCAATCCCCCAACACCGGAGGAGTGGCCGGCGAAGCACGCGTCGGCTCCCAGGATGCATCCCTCCCCCCATGCTCCCGGCGAGGTTTCCGCTCGTCGGAATCGCTCCCGCCGGTGCTGGTTCCCGGGATGTGGTGGCCCCATCTGCACCCATGCCTCCAAGGCAGTGTCTTTTTGGTGCGTTTCCGGTGGTGCCTCCCCAACGGCGGACCTGCATTTTCCGGCGCCTCTCCGATCCGGTGCCGGACCCGGTGCACTGCTATGGAGATTGGCGTCTCCTCCAGCCTCTATGGCTTGTCGGTATCCTGATGACCTCAGCCCCGGCTGCCTGGACCTGTGCCCCTTCCCGTTCCTTGCTTGTCGGCATCGGTGGCCTTCGCTTCCCCTACATTGCCTCCCTTGCTCTGCCGCCTCCCCAGCCCCAGCTACCTCGGTTCATGTCCAAGACTCATGTGTCCAACGTTGCTCTCCTTGCTGGTGGTTTTTCGACCTACGTTTGACTTTTTCTGACTCACGGTTTCTGTTCCGGTTGCTATGGGATTGCTCAGACCCAGGCTGGGAAGAAATCCCTGCTCGGCTTGCCGGTGCTGGCAGTGGCGACACTCATGAGGACCGTCCTCTCCTTAGAGGCGTTGCCATGGCATCTCTCTGAGCCCCTCCTTGAGCACCAGGGGAAACCCTAGGTTTGATTCTTTTGGATCGGACGGCGACGACGCTCAGCTCGTCTTGTTGTGCTTGTGGTGTCCCCGGTGTTGGACTTGTGGATGTAGGACGTCATGTAGGTTCGAACTGCGCCTCAAGCTAGGGGGTGTAGCTGTGTTGTTTGCTTGTTCGGGTCGAGCACCCCTTGTTTCTTTGCTTTGTACACGTCACCTTGCATTCGTGCATGTTTTGTACCCTTACTTGTACCCATTCTCTTTTTTCTATCAATGGAAAGATACACAAGCTTTGCGTATTCATGGAAAATAGAGTGAATGATATGCACCTAACTTGTTTTTGTTTTGGGTTATCTTCTACAGTTATATTATTCCAAATTGAGGGGCACCATATATGCAATCCCTCTACGGAAGGAGAATAAATTCTTGCAAGTGTTTGTGTATTTGGAAAATAAAAAATGTATGGCGAGTCTAGCAAACATGACAACCTTGAGTGCATACTACAAGATCAAAGTTCAAACCCAAGTGTTGTATCACTGAATTTTTTGAAAGAGATCACAAACAACTTTTCCGATGAGCGAGTACTCGGTAAAGGTGGTTCTAGTGTGGTATATAAGGTAAGATTAAATCATGTCCATTTAGTCTACTTTCAGATACATATGTAACCTATACATATTAACAACAGATGTAAAACAGGGTGTGCTACAAAGTGGGGAAATAATCGCTGTGAAGAGACTTGAGCTATCAATGGCTGGTTCTCAGAGTTTATTTCAGAATGAGGCTTCAACACCCAAATATTGTGCGATTTCGGGGCTACTGCCATGAAACAGTGTGGTTATATACAGAATTCGAAGGGCAAACAGTTTTTGCTGAGATCTCAGAAATGTTGCTTTGCTTTGAGTATCTCCCTAAAGGAAGCCTTGATGTGCATCTTTCAGGTATGGCAATTCAATATGGGGCATTTATTGTTTTGAAGTTCTTCATCTTCCTCTGATATTGTAGTTTGTGTGGTGCTGATCCGCTACGAATGTTACGACGGATTAACATGTGGTGCTGATATCTATTTATGCATAATAAAGCAGAACATACAATAGAAATTTAGTCCTTTCGTATGTTATCTAGAGCTCAGCAGCTGCCGTGAATAAGTTTTAAGGGATAATTACCATGCTGAAGATAGTCAGACGTCGTGGCTGTAGAGGATTAGATAGACATAAGCTAGATTAGAGAATAACTGGGGAGACTAGTTTCTTGCTTGACTCGAAAGTAGAAACATGCCATCCTTATTTAATGGATGCTCTGGTACTCTTTGACCTCTCCTAATATGATTTGAATTTTTGGATCTTCCCTAATATGTGCAATTGGGCTCTTCCACAATCCTGTACTTTCCTAATAGACTCTTACTGCCGCTGCTGTCCCTGCCTTGATACGGTCAACCTATATGTCCACGGCAACAACTAAAAAGGTTTTCAGATAACGTATGTCAAATGCTCTCCTTTTGGTAACAAATGCAGGTGGATCCTCTGAATTTGATTGGCACACGCGCTACAAAATAATCGAGGGGATTTGCAATGGCTTACACTATCTTCACGACCAAATTGATAAGTCTATTCTTCACTTGGACCTAAAGCCCGCGAACATATTGCTTGATGACAATTTGGCACCCAAAATTACAGATTTTGGGCTGTCAAGACAGTTTGATCAGCGTCAAACTATGTCCTCTCCAAATCGTGTTGGTACATTGTAAGTTTAGTGCCTCTTTATATCTTTTAAATCATCAGCAAAAAATGTTTTTCTAGACTTCTAGTTTCTTTAGCACTACAAAGTTAACTCATGTTGTGATGCAGAGGCTACATGGCTCCGGAACGCATCGATGAAGGCATAATCACACCTAAGTCAGACATATTCAGTTTGGGTGTGATAATAATGGAGATAATAACGGGACACAGGCACTACCCAGGTGTTTCTGGAACATCTTCCGAGGACTTTATTGAGCTTGTATGAGAATTCTGTTTCAACTTTCATGATGGAATCCGTTTTAGGAGGCCATGTTATGTTTTATCTTTGTACAGTGACTGAAGATTCTTGTTCTGACTTTGTAGGAACTTAAAAAATGGAGAAACACATTGGAGAAAGCACAGGGGTACACAAATCTAGAAATGGATTGCGAACAGATAAAAAGATGCATTCAGATAGGTCTAATCTGTGTGAATCCTGAGTGGACCGAAAGGCCTACAACAACAAAAATTATCAAGATGCTTCAAGGATTGGAAAGTTTGGATCGTAACATTAGCGATGAGGTAGAGTCATCGGCAGATCAGGTACGGTCACTTTAAGGCAATGCATTTGTGGAACATGTACTATTTGCTAGTCTTTCTTGTTTTCTAGAAACAGTCATCATAATTCATAACCTCTTAAAGTGCACAAAACATTGTATTTTGATATCTGTATCTACAATATTAAAAGCGCTACAAACTACAAACACACTACTACCAAATCCAATATGTTACTGAGAATAGCAAGCAGATTATAGCTGTAACCCATCAAGTATCTTGGCTGCTGAAACTTGTAGAGTCTTTTATTAGGTCTCATTAAGAGTCAAGTACCTATGTGGTTTTAGGTGTTCACCTGTTTCAGTCGATTTATCATGGCTGTAGTTGTATGTAGTTCACATTTGGTATGGTAGGATTGATTTATTTTTTCTAACAAAAGCTCAAATTAATTAGTTAATTTTGATTTCCAGTACCTATCTTACTCCAACATGTTTTTATTTTACTTATTTTTGGATAACATTCATAAACGTAATATGTATAAATTTGCTCAACTCATAAGTAATTACTCCCAAAGTGTACAACCAGAACAAGTGAGGTATTATTAAAGAGCGTTGTAATACACATTGAATTTACTTGAAATTGTTATTACAAGCTAAATAGATACTGATTTAGTAATAAGGTAGTAGTAAAAATATGAAAAGGTATTGCTCAATAAAAATGGAACCTTGCAAAGGTAATTAAGCATGTACAACACAAGCAAGTTGGCACAAAAACTTTTTGGTGGCGACATGCACATACACAATTCATCCTCAATATTGCAACTGATGTTGCTTCCTCCAGTTCCCTAAAAGTTGTCGTGCAAACTATTAAACATTTGACTTTTACTATATTTAACAACATACATACTTGAATGTCATATGCACAAATTTGTCTTGGAGCGTAATTTCACGTTATATTTCAATAAAAATTTGTAGTCAAAGTTGTCCTTTTTAGACCGACGGTGTAAAATTTTTATTTATCTTCTCCTCACCTACTGTCAGATCTCAAATGGACTCAAAAAGCACAGCGATTGCTTTGGGGTTACTGAAGAAGGAAAGCTGTCTCCTAAAAATACATTATGTATTGGGATATTGGAGCAAGCTGAAAGAAGGGAACCAGAACTTGGGGAAGCATCGATTTCTCTTGCAATGGCTGGTGACTGCCTACATGGAAAGTTGTTGTACCTTGAAAACCGAGGTAATCCTCATCTACAAATCATGCAGTGTTGCTTGATCTTTTCAAAATTGTCTGTTTTCATGGACTTAGTGGTGTTGCAGTTCTCCATGGGCAACTAGCTGACATGCTACTTTTTTCCTCTCTGGGAAGTTGTGTTTCACAAAAATATTTTCATGCCATGTAGTTGCTTTGGCGATGATATTGTTCCCAGCCGAGGCAAGAGTAGCAATGGAAGTTGCTCAAGTGAATGGTACTTCGGAATTTACCCTTGGTTCTAGTGCAAATCCACTTACGGAGATACAACGGACAACCTTTGATCTAAATGAAACTCCTTTCAAAATGAAGGATGTGTACTTAGCTCGGATGAGAGTGCTCTCCAAAACAGGTGAGGCACAGCTTGTCTTTATATAACAATGGACTTTCTATATTATTTATATTATCAATCTGATAATGTTCTCTTCTTTAGCTTATCTGTTGAAACATTCTCAATAAGAAAGCTGGTGTAACTGAAGTTGAAATCCCAGATTTTATCCCCCATCTCCTGTTAATAGGCCTATTGTTGAGTGCCTTAAAAGATTTACACTATCTTGCAAATCAATTGGAAGAGTGTAATTCTTGGCTTAACATCAATGTGTGAATGGTGAACAAATTAACCCCGCAAAAAATGGTGAACAAATTAGCAATTTTGTGCTCTTTAAGGATGGTAATCCATATGGATCTAAAGAACTATTGAGTGAAGACCAAATATGTACACTTGACTATAATCATGCAAAATGCTAATCAGGGGTTAATTGCTAATGATTGGTCTTGCTTGTGTGTAGGGGGTGGCGATTGACCTAGTTGTGCATAATTCTTTTGGGATTCGATTAAAAAAATGATATTTTACCAGATTTTTGGATCTGGACTAATTGCAAGTGAATGTTTATACCAGTTGAACTTGGCAAACGCTTCTTCCCGCGTTGTTCGGATGTGCTGGAGAAGATGATGGATGATGAACCAGGGCTGGCTGCCCTCGGAAGCGATTACAACCTCTGAGATGAATAGGTTTCATGACCTGCCAGATGTGCTTCAGAAGGCGTTCACTGCAGGTAAGCGGAAGCAGCAGAGCAGCATGGCGGAGCAAGATGTGGTAGAGCAGGTCCAGGGGCAGGGCGCCGTGGCTGGTACTGACAACGGGATTAGGAGGATTGCTTGATCGCCCGTTGCTATAGATTGGTATGGCATTAGTGCGTAAACTTACTTTCCTCCTAACGGATCAACTGTGATACAGAATTTGTAAGATTTCTGTCTCGCCTCCTACCTAATCATATTCTAATCCAATTGGAGTTGTTAATTTGTATTTAAATCCATAACAGGAAGCCGTGACGATGTACTTATATTGCCCGTAAGTTGCCCGTATGTGTTCGTGCTGCTGCCGCCTCTCGTCCATGTAAAATTTGGACCAAACCATAGTTTTATCAGTTCAGTTTGTTGCCTTTCTTGGGCGTGCTTCGGTTATGCTTCCTGTCATCTTTTGGATGTAACAATAGTTTCTGGTGGTAGCTGCAGTTTGTTAGATAGCTGGGACCTTGGTCTTGGCAAACAAGACTGAACCTTGTTTTTTTTTTTCAGCAATGAAATATTTTGGGGGCTCTTATAGAAAAGGTTTTTATTTTCCATTTTCAAGTGGTTCTATAATACCCTAAAGATCAATATATTTTAAGAGTAGGGAATTTCGTAATGTCTGATTCAAAATCCAAAATAAGTGTGCATTTCAAATTCCAATTGTTGAAACTTAATCTCTATCTCTACTAGTAACAGTAGGCTCTCGTGTCCAGCTAGTGGGCCCCTGTCTCAAGCAAACGCTCCTTTCTTGAAGCCTTTTTGATACTGCTGATCATGAATCGTACTGTGTGAGTATTTCGTTTGACCTTTTATATTTGGTTTCTGAACGCATGCTCTTTTGTGATTACCATTTCAATTCATGCCCTCTAGAAGACACCTCTGTGCTCGGATAAGAAGCTCTGAGACGCTGAGAGCAGGTGACTGCTTATTCTCTGTTCTGAAAATTGAGTGGAAATGAGATCAGGTTTCACCTACGATGGTTCCACCTGGCAATGACCGTACGTGTTTACGGAGCCGGATCCTCTAACATTACAGAGCGAAGTCAGGGCTAGACATCCCTTCAGGAAACGGACACACAACACCTCTCCCTTCTCATGCACGTGACCCGCTCTTTCTCTTTCTTCTCTTTTGGAGGGAAAAGTCACCCAGCTTGGCGCCAAAACCACACCCGTGAGTTGCTTCCCTCCACTTCTTCTCCACTTTCCCCTCCACTGTTTGTACTGCACCTCACTTTTTCTCTTTTCCTCTTCTCTTTTGGAGCATCTGCCACTCCCAGCATAGCAATACTGCTTTTCTCCTCTTCTCTTTTGGAGCATCAGCACATCCAAAATGCTCTTTTCCTCTTCTCTTTTGGAGTATCAGCGCAACAAGCACCTGGCCTGATCAAATACAACATCAAAATCAGAATTTAGAGGCTGATCAATGGAGAATCAAGATCCAAACAAGTAAGTTTTGCTTCTTATGGATCTTTTCAGTAGGAGTTGCACATGTTAAACCAGTTCTTGTTGGTGTCACTATGTAGCAAGTATATCATGAAACAAATCTGCACCTCTCCTCTTTCTTTTGTATGGATTAGTTAGAATAATCTTTACTTGTTTATTTTATAGGGCAAATGTCACACCTAGCTGGAAACCTCAACTTGGCATGAAATTCGATAATTTGGATGAGGCATGGGACTTTTGGAGGTACTATGGAGGAAGAATGGGGTTCAGTACTTCAGTGTTAGAAAGAGGTTTACAACTCGGAGTAAATTTGATGGTGTAGTGACTTCATGCAGATATGTATGTTTCAAAGAGGGGAAGAAGTCTGCAGATAAAAGAGATAACCTAACTAAGACAGGCCGAGCTGAAATTAGAACTGATTGTGAGGTCCGTATGTCTCTTACAATAGACCGTGAAGTCGGAAATTATGAAATATATGATCTTTGTCTTGAACATAATCACATGCTTCAGCTGCCAGAAGCATGCCACTTGTTGCCATCACAAAGAAGGATCTCTAAAGTGCAAGCTTTTGAAATTGAAATAGCTGATGACTCTGGTATTGCACCAAAAAATGCTCATGAATTTGCTAGTCGACGTGTTGGTGGTTCAGCTGGTTTAACTTACACACGCGTAGATCACAAGAACCACCTGCGAACAAAGCGCCAAAGAGAATTGAAGTATGGTGAGGCTGGACGTATGTTGAAGTATTTTCAAGACAAAGCCATTGAGAATCCTTCCTTTCAATTTGTTATACAGTTGGACAGTGAGGAACAAATAACAAATAATGCCAAAATGATCATAGGTTATGCTCATTTTGGTGATGTTATGACCTTTGACACTACTTTTGGGACAAATAAAGAGTACATGCCATTTGGTGTGTTTGTTGGATTCAATCAATTCAGAGAAACAGTAGTATTTGGTGCTTCACTTCTCTATGACGAGACATTCGAATCTTTCAAATGGCTATTTCATGCCTTCTTGTCGGTACATAACCAGAAGCAGCCACGCACCATATTTACTGACCAAGATAGTGCTATGGGGAAGGCAATTGGGCATGTTTTTTCAGAATCAATACATGGGCTGTGCACTTTGCACATTATGCAAAATGCTATCAAGCACCTACCCAGCAAAGAGAATAGTGAAGACAACGAAGACGATGTGGATGAGGGAGATAATGAGGAAAATGAATCATCTCTTCTCAAAGATTTCAGTGCTTGTATGTTTGAATACGAAGACCGAGAAACATTTGAAGATGCTTTTAATGTTATGAGAAGCAAGGTGAAAAAGCAAACTTGGATGGATAGTATTTATAAGGTAAAGGAGAAGTGGGCAGAATGTTTTATGAGAGATGCTTTCACTTTGGGAATGCGAAGCACACAACTGAGTGAAAGTTTGAACAATGACCTCAAGAATCATCTCAAGTCAGATTTAGATATCAACCGCTTTTTTCATCATTTTGAAAGAGCCGTGAAAGTGAAAAGAGACACTGAGATAAATTCAGAGTACGAGTCTAGGAAGAGTCTACCTAGAATCAAAATCCCCACACCAATGTTGCAACAAGTCAGTAGTCTTTATACTCCTGCTATATTTGAAGCTTTTCAAACAGAATATGGGAGGTCAATGCCAGCAAGTGCTCATATACTACCTGGAGACAATGAATACATGGTTAAGATTGAAAGGCTTATTGATGGGCAATATGCAACATTTGAAGAAGAATACAAAGTTGTTGGAGACAATCACCAACAAACGGCTTCATGTAGTTGTGGGCAGTTTGAGAGAGTAGGAATTTTGTGTGCTCATGCTTTGAAAGTTCTTGATTTAATGAATATCAAGTTGTTGCCGGCACACTACATTTTGAAGCGATGGACAAGAGAAGCACGGTCAGGATCCATCAAAGATTGTTGTGGACGGACTGTAGTTGAAAATCCAAAGTTGGATGCCATCACCCGATACAATTTTCTTATACACATGTGTTGTGAGTTGGCAACTCTAGCAGCCAACTCTAAAGAATATTGTATTGTCATCGAGAATGCACTTATTAGTGCTACTAAGCAAGTGAAGGAACTATTGGGTGCACGCACAACTAATGTTGAAGACAGATGCCATGTCCAGGTGGCTCAATCATCAAATGAATCATTGAGTGGTACACAAGTGACTCAAACATCAAATGAATTGTTGAGTGCTGCACGTCTGAAGAAAAAAGAGGTTAAGAAGAAAGGCTCTAAAAGAAAATTAGGTTTCCTTGAGAGGCAACACAAGAGGAGGAGGAAAACACCATGTGCGACCACAGAGAAAAAAGAAAGAGAAGATTGTCCCATTAGCCAGCAGAGAGAAAAGGAGAACATACCATCACAGACTAGTTCAGTAAAGAAGGTTGTCTAAAAAAAATCTTCAAAAAAGACCAAACCAATACCAAAACCGAAGGAAGCAAGCACTGCAAAATATGAGTTCATGGAAAGTTTCACCAATCTGTTGACAGCTCCTATTGTTAATGACATAGATGTTGACACATTCTGAATGGTGGAGTCCTGGTAGCTAGTAAGGTAGGAATTATTTTGGCTGCTACACTTTGTACTCTATGTTCTGAATGTCCCAAATGTTCTGAATGGTGGAGTACTGGTAGCTAGTAAGGTAGGAATTATTTTGGCAATGTAAGGATTTACTAAGTTCTCTTATGTATCTACCTGGTGGGTTTTATGATTCACAATTTGTATCCTTTCATATCACCAATCACAAGACAAATCAATGCCAATTGGTTCAAAGATGCAGTGGCTACTAAGCACTTCCCACGCACCAAGTATTCAGAAGATATAAGCAGTTCAGTTGATCCACGCAGTACTGACCTGCGATGGAGGAAGTTAGAGGCGCAAGCGGCGCAGATGGAGGTGTCGCCGACGATTGGAGGACGCTGACGGGCGGCGTAGACGGAGGGGCGGCACGGGCAGACAGCATGGACGGAGGTACGGCGCTGGAGGCGCGGACGGAGATGCCGCCGGCGACTGGAGGACGCGGACGGGCGGCGCAGACGGAGGGCACGCGGGCGGACGGCCGGCGTGGACGGAGGAGCGGCGCTGGCAGGCTGCGGGGACGGGCGAGTTCGGCGAATCGCGGCGGCGCGAGCGAGGACTGGGCGGTGCCAGCGCCCAGCGGTGGCAGAGGAGTCGGGAGAGTTTCTTTTCTTTTTTCTTTTTTTTAGCGACGTCCGCGTCCGTTTCCTGAAGGGATGTCTAGCCCTGACTTCGGATCCGGCTTCCGTGTTTACGTGCCGTGCTTTTGTTGAAGGCATTACGTGAAGTCTGCTTGGATGTGCTTTCCAAGGTGAAAACCCAAAATCCAACCTTTAGTGATTCGGAGAGGGAACATCAAGAGTAGTCATTGGGCTTGCTTGCCCAACTCCAGG